TTGTAGCCTGAGGGCCCCAGAGCACTGGCCTTACATTAGAAGCCCCTCCAGGACCATCTCAAGATCAATGCTTTGATCACTATAGCCATTCACGGCAGGAAATTAAACCAGACTCCTGGGGACCAAGCCACCATCAGCTGCAGCCTCTGGGAGATAGGAAACTGAAAGCAGGCCCACTTCACACAATCTGCTGAACAAATGCAGACTTGGCAAAATGAAAGAACTACGCTGATGACTGTTTCTGTTTCCTGAGGAAGATTTCTAAAAAAGCATTTCACTCAGTAGTAAGAGGTGTTCTAAGTTTAATCTGGTAAGTACACCTGTGATCATTACAAAACTTAATGTGATCTACTGTAAATCCGAACATTAAGTAAATACAGAATAGTACTTGTAAATACCAAGATAAATAAAATTTAAAATATTTTTGTCACTGTCTCCTGTGATTTAATAAAATATGAAGTCTAGAGGGAGATACTTTGTTCTCGAGAATTTTAACATACATTATTACATCGGTTTCCTAACATACAGTGTCAGGGTGCACATAGCTCATTCCAAGAGGAAACAAGAAAAGTTAATAACTCTACTGTAAAAGCTGACAAGATTGATGGTGGAAGAGCGTTTTTTTAATCCGGGTGATAACACTGCACATTCAATGCCCCGCTGTCCGTGAAGCAATGGTGACAAGGCACAGAACTGCTAAGGGAGGTGTTATTCTCAGCTTTTTATTTAACTTTCAGCCTTCTTTTCTTGTTATCTTTGTTGATTAGTAGTTACTGAACTCCTGCAGGGGCGTTGGCCCTGTGCTTGAAGCAATGCCATATTGAGTGATGGAAGAATAGCGATGGACCATTTCCCATGTTTACCTTTGAAATTCCTTTGTTGTGTCTGGACGCAGCCACATTGATTTTGTCTCTGTCCTCCAAGAAATAACTCTCTTTGAATGTCATTAATGAATTTGTTTCCATAAAACCAGAGAAAGTCATACAAAAATTCAGGCAAAGGGCTGAGTACTTTGTACCCACAAAACATTATTTTTTTAATGACAATTTTAATTTACTCTTTAGGTGTTTAGTCTATTTGTATCTGTCTGCCTATGATGTCTTTTATTGCTTATCAAAGTCATCGCTGGATATGATCAGTAGTAGGGAGTTATCAGTTGTCTAAAGCAGTATAATGCTCTTGCTTTATTTTGGTGGTTCTTTTTTTAGCTGTTTTGTCAGTCAATTATTATTCTTTCCATTCGGGTCCCAAGGGAAGAATATGGAACAGTTCCTGGCATGAAAGAGTTTCCAGCTGAGGGAGTAACAGGAATTCTCTGAAGGTAGAAATGGGAAGCAGAACGAGAGAAGAATATTCTGGCTTCAGGAATGGGGTCAGTGACTCTGATGCAACAGGGAAAAAAATATTGCTTTGTATCCTGTTGGTTTCTACCACAGGCTCAACATTTTCAAAAGGATAATGATTTAACTAAAAATGGATTGGGACTAGGTATGAAGAAGTGAAACTGCTAACAACATTCAGATGATCGAACTTCTGTTGTAGAAAAATCTCACTCCATACCATCTAAACACCTTCCTTGACACCTAGGTTATGTCAGTTTCACAAAATTTGAAATTAATGCTTGTTCCTAAGATACTGAAAATCTATAATATTTTACAAAGTCCAGTGAGATATGCCTAATTTCTTTCTAGCATTAATTCCTGAGTTATAAATAAACCATCTAAGCAACTATGCTTTGTTCTGATTGTAGCCTTGACAGACTCACAACAAGATATATACCAGGCCAAGGATTTTCAATTGAATTGTTTGTACAGACCTTCCATAAGACACAGAGACTTTCCCCACATTTGAGCTGATCTAGTGACAAAATAATAATAATAATAATAATAATAATAATAATAATAATAATAATATAATCAGTTAATCAGAGTTTATAGCTCTAACTCCGAAGTCCAACTCACTGGATTAAAATCCTGACTGCCATTTACCATCTGTATTATCCTGGATAACCTACTTAACTTATCTGTATATTCATCTTCACTGAAAAAAAAATGAAAATCTTCATTCTCACTGAAAACAAGTGGGAATTAAAAAATCATACTTATTCAATAAGGTAGTTTGAGTTTAAAATGGTAAAGTATACATACACAGTGCTTGGTAAATAATTAAAATCAGACCTGCAGACTTAGTAAACAATCTTATGGTTATTGGGGAAAAGGGGTAGGAAGGGATAAATTTGGGAGCTTGAGATTTACAAATGTTAGCCACTGCATATAAAACTAGATTTTAAAAAAGTTTATTTTGTATAGCACAGGGAACTATGTTC